GAGGGAGGGAGGGAGGGAAGGGGTGAGGGAATAAATAGATAAACCATTAACAAGACACTTCGCCTCTTTGTTCAAGTGTGAAGGGCCCACGTGTGTTTAACGTCTCTGGGATAATGGCGGCCATCAGCGGGAAGGAAATGAGACCCCGCCTTATGTTTGCCAATTTAGACATTTCTTTTAGCCTGGGTATTTCCTTACTAGGGCAAGTATCTCATGCATTTCATCAGTCCGTGTCTACGTGTGTTGATGAGTGTGTGTGCTGTGTACGGACTATGTGCTCACACGGATGGTTGGTGGGCGGTGGGCGGGTGCTCTCGTGTGGTTTACTCCTCCTTTCTTATCTATCTGATCAAAAATCTACCTTCCCCATCTTTCATTATTTGTATATTACTCTAGCAATACCTTTAATCTTTGGTACTTTTATGTACCTACTCGTCTTGCAAGTTCTCCTAAACTCTTCGTTAAATTAAAATCACAAGGATGCAGTGGTACGACTCACGTGATTCTATATAATTGTCACGTGATTCTGTGTGATCTTTATTCATAGCACTGTAGTACTCGTAGACATCTCACTGTTATGGCTGCAGTTTGCTCTGCGAAAAAAAAAAACTTGGTTGCGAAGCGTGCATGCCATGTGCCGCGCAGTGGCGGTGGGTGGACCAAAATTTAGGTGGGGTTTCAGTTCCTTCTACTTCTTTTCCACCAAATAGCGAGCAATAAAACCTAAACAGTACTGATTTCTCTATGCTCGCGGTGAGCCACGGTATTTTGAGAACCATTCCATCTTTTTGTTCTAGGTTAGATTATTCTGGATGAAAAAGTTTCTTTTAAAGTTGAATCAACCTGGTTCATAACTGTTACATCTCTGCGGCACAAACGCAAACATATTCCGTCTATGAGTTGATTAGGCCATGTAGTCGCGGAAAGTAGAACGCACCTTTCAAAAGTCCAATGAGCGCGTAGGTATCTGTGTCACTGGGGGAAAGTGTGTCGTAAACTTCACCCCGTTGTCAGGACTAGGGGAGCGTGAGCCCTCAGTACAGTGTTCTTTTTTTCCAGTCTTTTACCTTTTGACATGCAGAGTTTCATTACGGAAGGGGCGTGGGAATGGGCTCATCCTGTGCTGAGCCCAAAAGACATTTGATTGTCTGTTAGGTTACTACAGTTGTAAGCTTCTGAAAACAGTGTTTGGATAAGCGAGCAAGCCGACAAGTTGATCTGTGTTCATTGCGTGCGATCATAACGGTTTCAACTGCTTATTGCGTTAAGAAAATTTCTTCTACTTTGGGATAGAGTTTGGGGGTGGGGGTAGGGGGCACAAGCCTGTGAGCCCTTCACTTCCCACCGCCACTGGTGCCGGACATTGTGTCCGTGGGGATGGGGGTGAGTACATTTTAAAAAGAAAAAAATGAGCTGCACCTTTGAGCCCGAAATGAGGGGCGGAACACGAGTTTCGCTTAAATAAAAAAGTTGAATAGTGCTTCCCCCCCTTCCTCACCCTATGTCTGTCTGTCTGTCTGTCTGTCTGTCTGTCTGTCTGTCTGTCTGTCTGTCTGT